ATGAGATATCTTCAGAGGACTAAGGGACATATGCTCACATATAGGAGATCAGATCAGCTTGAGATCATTGGGTATACTGATTCTGATTTCGCTGGATCGTTGGATGCCAAGACAGAAGAAAATCCACATCTGGCTATGTTTTTCTATTGGCTGGTGGTGCTATTTCTTGGAAGAGTGTGAAACAAACTCTAGTGGCAACCTCCACCATGACCTCCACCATGGAAGCTGAATTTGTAGCATCTTATGAGGCATCCAATCAAGCTATTTGGTTGAGAAACCTTGTCACTGGGCTGCGTGTAGTAGGTGGAATAGAAAGACCACTGAAGTTGTATTGTGACAGCAGGTCAGTCGTTTTATTCTCCAACAACAACAGGAGCTCTTCTCGATCAAAACACATTGACATTAAGTTCTTGGCTACGAAGGAGAGGGTACAGAGTGGACAGATATCCTTAGAGCATATTGGAACAAACTCTATGATTGCGGATCCGCTTACAAAGGCAGTGATACCGAAAGTTTTCAGTGATACCGAAAGTTTTCCATGAGCACACCGCTCATATGGGTATCGTTTTGTTTGAGACTGTCTAGTTTTAGTGGGAGTCTGCTCTTTATGTATACATTATGGTTTTGAATGCTCTATTTTGTTTTGGATATGTTTTATCATGAAATTTTGTTGAGTACTCATTTTGGTTGATGGTTACACTCTGTATTATTATTATTGTTATTATTGTTGTTTTGCTTGATCTCACTTTTGTTGGTGACCAGTTGGAAACAGACAACAGACATTTTGCCATGATCACATTGCATGTAGTTTTCATGCTACACTTTCTATAATTGAATCTATGTCATTTTAAGGGGTATTGGTTAATGTAGTTGATATGAAACTTTAGTTCATGAGATCGTCATGAGATCTATGGCGAATGTTTCTTCAGTTCTTTATCAATATAATTAATGGACGAGATTGTTTTTGGATACCTTGTATGACTGCGTTTGTTGAGCTCATTTTGGTGTATGTATTTTATTTAACATAATGTCGCCCAAGTGGGAGATTGTTGGATTTAATTTTCTATTGTGGGCTTAATATGTAAAATTAAATATGTACAGCAGTCTAATTATAAAGTCAATTTTAAATGCGGTCTTGATTGTGAATAATTGACTATTGAGGTATCAACTAATTATAGATATTAAGTGTAGAGACCATTATATAATTCCTATTTCTTTAAAGGACCGAAATAGGAATTGTACTAACGGAAATTTGTACTAACGCTACAGGTTATATTTAAGGTGTGGTCCCCAGAGGAGTTAAATACGATTCAGTTTTACGTTCCTTTCGTACTTGCTTCTGCTAAAAATCGATTCTTCAAATTCTCTGGGGAGGGCTGCAAAACCTAATTTCTTACACATCAAGATCGACGAAACAACGATGTCAGGTTACGGCAAAACATTTTCTTATTTCAATCTTATTTTTGTGAATCTAGTTGGTTTGCCACGACTCTTAGATTATTGGTGAATTTTATTTGAGATTTAATTCCATAACACGCCAGCCATGGTGAGACCTTGAGCCATCGGCGGTCTAGTGAGACTGCAAATGGACAAGCAATGTAAGGCACGCCTGGTTAAAATGGTCAGAGATTATCATGCTCGATTAAAATGTCGAGATTATCATGCTCGAAGTTGAAATTGAGAATTTTCTTTATTTTAGAAAAAATAATAGAAAAATTAAAGAAATGAAGAACCATATATTGTAGAGGACACGGGCGAGGAGAAGAATCGATTTGAGGTGAGCGGTGGTGGAGGTGGCAGTTGTGATGGGAGATGAGCTGGTAAGGAGGTGATGGGAATAGAGATTGTATCTAAAGAGGAAGGTAAAGAGAAAAAAGGAATTGTTTTTGTTTTTTTTTTATGGGTATTTAGGTATAAAAGTTCTATCTCTCACTTTTAGCCGGCTGTTGTAGTTTGACAAATGGTAAAACTCATAGAATATGAATGGAAGGACCAGCTTAATTTCACCCTTGGAAATTGAGCTATAGACCCTATTATATTAACCTTTTTAAAATTTAATTTGTTACTTAAAAATATATAAATTTTAATAAGTGTTACATAAAAAGTAACCTGTTAAATTTTTCATTGAGAAGTGTATGAAAAACTGACGTGTTCATCATTAAAATATTTAAAATGAAAAACTTGCCCCCTCAACCTTATTAATGAGCTTTATAAAGTTCTCTCTCCTGCCTATGTACTAATTCTCAACTCGTTGCAATATGTGTGTTGCCCTATTGCAATATGTGTGTTTGCCCTATTGTCTTTTTTTTTTTTTTTTTTTCTTTTAATCTTTTTTTTTCTTTTATCTTTGTACTTCCAATCTGAACAATAAATGAGATTATAAAACACAACCACAAAATCAATTTAATCACGCACCACTATTCTTTTATGAACTGGACTACTCTTTTATGAATTATGCTAAATTTTAGGGGGTCAAAAAATAGAATATTTTGTGTGTATATGTCATAATACGATAACTTGGACCGGACCGGCATTAAGATCTGGGTAGACTTAAAGCTATCAAAACTCATAGTAAACTAAAATATATCAAACAAACTTCTTGTTCAATAAAAATAACCCCAGGCTCAATATCATCAACATTTAACATATTATAAGTTTTGAGCTCGCTTGGCCCAATTTATCTTAGTATAAATGCTATTTGTTGGAGTATGTGTTGTGAGTAAATTCTTCATATCGAATAAATACAACTAAATGAAAGGGCATATAATTGTGAAGGATGTGAACCCAACCAAAAATGGCTTAGGCATTTGTGTATTAAAGGTAAGTCAATTTTGTATTAAAGGTAAGTCCAACTCATTATAAGCCCAATATTAAATATATAATTGAATTTGATTAATTACTCCTAGGGCCCAGATTCTCAACACTATTCCAAGAGAAATCACAAAGCAATTTGAATAAACTATGGGGTTTTTAATTTATGGTGGATTAAGTTTCGATGAGAATTTAGTACAAGGCTTTTGACGAAGAACATGAGAGCGGTGAAAGAACTGGGATTTTCTTCTGGTTTTCACACTTGCCAATATATATAACACAAACTTTCAAGGCATAAAAAAGCATAGTGCCTAAGTAGTTCAATCTCGCATTAAAAAGAGGGCCCACTAGATTATTTCTCAATTGAACCATGTAGATTAAAAATTATATTTTCTTATTTTTTAAATCCCCAAAACCCACAAATTCATCAAAAACGAAAAAGAAGTAATTACAAATTTTCAGAAAAGAAAAAGAGTAATTACAAGAGAAAAGAAAAGAGTAATTACAAGAGAAAATAGTTAGAAAGATAAATTGAAAATAATTAAAAAAAAAAGATATATCAAAAGTAGAGTGAAAATTTTTTTAAATAAAAAAAGGAAAAGCTTTTATTTGTTCATTTATTTAACACAAAAATTACACGTATCTATTGAAGGTCTTGAAGTAAAGAGGATAGTAACTCATGCAATTCTTGTGTTCTTCACTTCTTTTTCTTTTTGATTTAAAGACCCTAATTTCTCCAGATAAAAACAAAATTTGTAGGTGAGTTCAAATTTTGTTGCATGCTAGGGTAAAAAATAAATTATTTTCTTGAAAAAAAAAAGGAGTGAGAAAAAGAGGAAAAATAATACTGCAATAAAGTAAAGATCTGTTTATAGAGAGAGAAAAAAAAAATGTCAGAATAAAGTACGAGAGTACGAGACACTACAATTTTTCTATACGGGGTGGATTGTTCCCCGCAGTAACGCTGAGGTAAGCCAGTCCGAACCGACGGAGAAAAAATAACAAGGAGAGAGAAATCAAGAGTTGATTATTGAAGGTGGAATTTTTTATTTTAAATGATTTTAAATGTTTAATTATGTACCGTCACCATTCCATCTACTCTTTAATCGAAAATTTAACAAGTTGGCTTTTATATAATATTAATTGAAGTTTATATATTTTTATGTAATAAATTAAATTTTAGGTAGCCATCAAACTGCAGAAGAAAAAACATTACAAGGATAGAGAAAATCAAAGTTGATCGTTGAGGTGGAAAATTTTTTATTTTAAATGTTTAATTATTTACGGGTCACCATTCCGTCCATTCTTTATCAGAAAATTTAACAAGTTGACTTTTATATAACATTAGTTGAAATTTATTTATATTTACATAATAAATTAAATTTTAGGGACATTAATGTAATAAAATTTATAATTCAAATACGATACATGAAATTAAGTCTGAAATAATCAAATAATTTAATGAAAGCAAAAATTAGAGATATGTTAATGTATTTTTTAAATACAAAAATATACGCAAGTTAATTTCAATATTTTATAGGGATAAAATCATAATTTTGCATCAAAATTTTATGTTTTGTCTTAATTATTAATATAATGAATGATTTTAAAATTCTCCTTTAAATTTTTTTTAAAAAAGTATTTTCAAAATCTTTTTTCGGCTCGTATTTTACTCTACATTAATATTAATTTGATGGAAGTGAATATTTAAAACAGAAGATTCATGGAGCCAACCTCATAATTTGCTTGATTGTTGCAGTAAGTATTTAATTATAACCAAAATAATGAAGAAATAACGATTCAAAATTTAGTGTATTACTTACTTCTAGAAGTAAATTTAAAACAAAAAAGTTATAAATTTAAAACAAAAAAGTTATGTGAACGATCATTTAAGGGGCAAAAAAAAAAAAAAAAATGTGAAGGGACATGGAAAGGATACTGCCACACTTTCCATTACTTTCGTTACCTGCAATATTGTATTCCTTAGTCACCATTACCAAATAAAATATTGAAAAATACCAGCAAAGCAACCATTGACCAGTCACCCATTTTTTGCAAGAGCAGCTCTTTCCTCCATTACCTCCATTACATCTCTGTCTATGGGAAATAACCCATTCTTCTTTCCATCTACACTCTCTTATTCTCTACCATCATTTCCGTCATCGTCATCGTCATCGTCGCCGTCGCCATCGCTCGTCGCCGTCGCCATCGCTATCGCTATCATCTAATTCTCCATGTCCATCTTCTCAAAGTCTGAATTCTCCTTTTCAGCCTTCTTTTCCCTTCCCGCCTTCCCTAACTTCTTCAAGTCATGTCGCCGGCCCACCTTCTGCAACGGTTAGCGGACCTTGTGCCGCCTGTAAAATCCTTGGCCAGCGATGTACCGATAAGTGTTATATAGCTTCCTATTTCCCTCCAACGACTGAACCACATAAATTCACCGTTGTTGGCAGTCTTTTCGGTGGTGACGATATCGTCGACTACCTACAGGTAAAATTTAAATTACTCTAATTAAAAATAATTACATATCGAATTAGGTATCGCTATTCATACTTTGAGGAAAATTTTGATGGAAAAGAGATTGCCATTATTAAGTCTCCATACGAAAAGTACTTATATGAAAAGTACTTGGGTGCCCTTGTTGTTAGCTGCTCGACTCGCTGGAGCTAATTCGATAAACTTATAAAGCTGAGTTCGAGCCGAGTCAACGAGCTATCTTAATAAACGAATCAAGGTTTGAGTCCAGCTTATTAGCTCGTGAGCTGGTTTTTTCAAGCCAAGCAAGACGGTTGGCAAACCAGCTTTATTAGGCTGAACTAAGCTTAGAGCTAACTTAATAAGCTAAAATTAATTAAACTTACATTAGAACAACTTGCTTTCGGTTTGATATATTCGAAGCTCAAATTCAAACTTGATGATTATCGAGTCAAGCTTGAACTTGACTATTTTTGCACAAGCCAAGTTCGAGCTCTAATTCAAGCGTGAAATGAGCTCGAGTTCAAATATATTCTTATCGAGCCAAGCCGTTTTAACCAAATAATTTAGCTTCCTATTTTCCTCCAAGTACTGAAATCCCAATGTTAATTTGTTGCCACTATGTTAATTTGGTGCCACTATAATGAACTACCAATGTTAATTTGGTGCCACTGTAATAAAAAATTTTATGCTTGGTTTAGAATGTTATACTTTAATTTCATGCTTGGGCATGAATAATGAAAATGTTTATTTCAATCAAATAAATTTAGTTTTGTGAAATTGAACAAATTACACCAAACCCCATTTTTATAAATTAATTTTACATCTTAAAGTCATTTAACCAAATAAGAGTTCAGAGGGTCATTGCTTTGGAAGAATTTAGACTTATAAATCAATGAACTACAAATAAAAATTTGCACATCAAACATAGAAAAGAAAAGGTATTAGCATCAGTTTGACATACTGTTGTTTATTTTGCAGCAGAACAGCAATTCTTCATCTTATGTTCCACTATTATTGTTGTTGAGAGACACAAGTAAAGATGGAACCCAAATGCACGCAAATCCCAGCAAGACTAGCAATATTAATGGCCAACGCCAACCCATGCTTGCCAATTCTGAAAACTCAAAAGCCCATTCGCACAGTAGTTCTTCAAAGCCTCCACTAATGCTGTTTGGAACTAATGACAACAAAGGCACTCTGACATCTCCAGCGAATCATTTAGGGGATAATAATGATCTTGAATTGCAGGCTGAAATGGAGGATGAATCTCTCAAGTTTATTGTTGATCAAAGGGATAAAGTTGCTCATAAAGATGATAGTAAAGACTTCACATTTGCTCATCCCTACATCACTTCTTCAGAGCCCCCAGAGATTTTTGGAAGTGGTTGCCCAAACTTACCATGGGTTTCAACTAAAGGTTCTGGTCCAAAGGGAAGAACAATTTATGGTGTAACGTATGGATACAGTGAAACTCAAATCAAAATTGTGTGCGCTTGCCATGGTTCCCACATGTCTCCCGAGGAATTTGTTAGGCATGCAAGCGAAGAGAATGTTAATCTGGAAAATGGAAATGGCAGTGCTTCAGCTTCGTTTCCAAGCACTGATCCTGCATATATTGAGCCATGGTCGCCAGGATTCTCTTCTTTGTCACGTGGAACTCAAGAGGACAAGCTGGTTGTCAAAACGAGTGGCATACAATCTTATCTAGACTGGGCGTAAAATGGAGGAGAATAGAGGGGAAACAAATAGAATGAAAGAGAAAATCATTTATCTTGGGATTTTACTTATTTCCAGAAGTTTGTAGACAAATTCAACTCCTATCAAAGGAAATAATTGTATTTTTATAACTAAAATTCCCCTTCTCCTCAGCCGAACAAAATAAAATTATTTCTCCTTCCTTCCCTTCATTAATTTTTTACTTTCCCAACAGAACAATGTCAATATCTTCCAATTCACTCTTCCTTCCCTTCTCTTAGTTTTAAAAAAAGTTACTAAAGAAGAAAACCTATTGTGGCAAATGTATTAAGACAGTTGGAACCGTCAATTCTAACCGGTTGAAAGAACTTCTGGTTCTGACTTGTTCTTAGAACCGTCGGATTACGGTTCCACAAAATTTAAAATCCAGTTTCAACTGTTTCTGAATCGATGGTTTTAATTATGAAAACTGGATTTTGGTCATGCCTAACTAAGATTCAACTCTCAATTCACCCTTGAAAATTTTTCTTAATATTTTATTACATGTTGACCTGGGAATTTTTTTTTTCTCACCACTGTTCACCTATCGTCTAATATGTAATGTTAGTTTAGTTCATAATATTAATTTATTTTATTTGACATCTTATAAAGTAATTGGATTAGTTTTTTTTTAATTTATATAAAAATTAATATTTATTTAGTAATAGTCATTGTATTTATTATATTCCCTTTCATGCTTTAAACATTATAAGAATTATAATCAATACCTAATATTATACAAAAATTAATAATAGTTATAAATAATTAACGTGGAATGCAGCCCATAAAATAATATATATATTGCAAAACTATTAGTAATAGCTAATTTTCTACAAATAGTATTTTAAAATTTTTTTCAACTTATACTTTGCTTTGCTATTAGTAATAACCAAATATCAACAAGAGGTCACCATGTGGTTTTCTATATAATCCATATCATCAGGTGCACACGGAGGCGCCGATCTCCCTGTACCTAAATGGAATTTATTTATCATATATGAATGCATAACATTTATCTGTGTATGCATGAATGCATATGCAATGGACAATATAATTTATCCAACACTAATCACAGTTTTCATTGTCTTTAAAAGGACTATATTTATTACCGCACGCTTTCAGCTTTTGTTTTCACGTTTTGGAAATTTATAAACATTTAAAATAAAAAGAAAATTCTAAATAAGAGTTCTAATTCGAGAAATTTATTTCACATTCATTTATTAATTTTGGTTACTAGTGGCTTATCAAACTAAATTATATATATTGTTCCTTTATTTATTTATTTATTCTAATTTATAACTTTTAATAAAGCTTTCTATTTAATCACTTTTAATAAAGCTTCTAGTTATTTTGGTAAGTAATAATTTTTATAATGATGATGAATGATGATGATGAATAATAATATAAAATAATAATAATAATAATAATAAAGGAAATAGTAATTCTAAAAGTTTTAATCGTTACCACCTATTAAGGATATAACTAATTTAATTTTTAAATGAAAATTCTATGAAATTGAATTTTCGGGTCATTTCAATCTTCCCCTTTATAGAAATTCATCCTCGAATTTTAGAAGTAAACAAGAAATAAGGATGCAACTGATAAATAAAGCGTATAAGAGAGGAAAAGTCATTGCAATCCATACTAGATATCTTAAACCCGATGAAAACTGTTAATAGTTGTATTAACCATGTAAATGTAAAGGACTGTAAATTATAGAGTTCCGCAATTATATTTCAAACGGGTTGTAATCGAATAATATGTATATATAAATTTTAATTATATGAATTGTATTTTTGATACGTCTATGGTGTATAGTTATTGGGCCTAAAGCCAAGATTAAGAACGGAATATGGATTTAACTAGTATAGGCTTACTACGGATCTCGGAGGCCTTAAGCCCACCCAGGCCCTAGTGCTGGTCCGGCCTTGGAAACGCGTCATGACAATTATATATATATTGCAACCAAAATAATGGAGAAATTACAGTTCATAATAGTATTAGTTATTTGGAGAAATAAATTTAAAAAACTTTCTTATAATAACTGGCTTAGTCATTAATCAATAAGTTCTTTATTTAGCTAATTCGTAGTTATCTGATTAGTTCTCTCAGCTCATTTAAGAGTGCGATTCTTCCCAGTTCCCACTAATAAAAAGTTGCACCAATTTGTTCCATACCTGTATAGGAGTGAAATGGAGGAGAGCAGAGGGGAAAGAAATCGAATGAAAGAGAAAATCATTTATCTTGGGATTTTACTTATTTCTAGAAGTTTGTAGACAAATTCAACTCCGATCAAAGGTAATAATTTTACTTTTATAACTAAAATTACCCCTTCTCCTCAGCCGATCAAAGGTAATAAGTTGGAAAAAATTTAAAATACTATTTGTAGAAAATTAGCTATTACTGATAGTTTTGCACTATATTGTTTTGCAGCTATATATATATATACTATTAATATATATTTATGTTTATTTTATGAAGCTGCAATTCCACCGTTGACTTATTTATAACTATTATTAATTTTTGTTCATAATATAAGGTATTGATTAATCATTTCTTATGGAAAATTATTATTTTAGTCCTTAAGTTTTACCATAATTTCCAAACTATTCCAAGTTTTGCACAATACTCTAAACTAGTTCCCTAGAGTTTACACTCTGTTAATTAAAAGGTCTTCCGTCCAACATTGGTTTTTTTCCGTTAACTTATAGACTAAACGACACAACACCCCCTCCCTAGCTGACATGGACCATAACTTATTCATTGATTGGGAACAATTATTATCTAGTCCTCAGGCTTTTAACAATAATTATCTAACTAATCCCAAGTTTTGCGCACTATCTAACTAGTACCTAGGTTTAACTCCGTCCTAATTGAAAAGGTCATTTGCGTTCCGACAAAGTTAATTTTTTTCCGCTTAATTGAAGATTTTAAACAGACTAAAACACCCTCCCTAGCTGACATGGGACCCAGTATGAAGCGATAAGGAAGGGAAATTGTAATAACTAAAAGACTAAATAATAATTTTCCCTATAATTTTATGCAACATGTAGAATTGTAATAGACTAGCTTAATTACACGAGTGGAAAATTAAAGCCCTTCGCTAAATTTAAAAATGAAAAATTGAAGAGTTTCATAATAAAGTCGATGGAGACATAATCATTTTTCTCTCTTAAAACTGTACGGTTTAGTTTTTAGATTATAAATATTTGCAATCGAAAACCATTAAATATAATTAATGTCTCTAAAATCTTACTATCTTCATTCTATCTATTAAATATTCGTCACATTTAAGAAATTTCAATGTCTTTTAAAAAATTATTAAATTTGTATAAATTATAATAAATCTATTGAATAAATTTTATTATAATAAATTATTGAATAAATTTTGACAATATTACTCTTAATTTAATATTAATCTCTAAGAAAATCATTAAATTGAAATAATAATTATTAATCATACACAAAGGGTAAATATGAAAAAAATATTTATTACTCCTTAAAACCGTAAATATAACAAGTATTTTAGACTAAATTAGACAAATATTTTAGAACAAACTATTTTCTCAAATCTGACAAGTATTATAAAACAAAGACAGTATTAAAAAAAGGATAAAAAAATTAATTTGATGTTCTAATTAAATATTATTAAATTTGAGTGAATCATGAAAGTAAATACATCTTCAAAAAAGTAATTACTTCATTTTTCTTTTTACCCCAAATTATCATCATAGTTTCTTTTTTAGAAAAAAAAGTAATAAACATATTTTCTATTTTATTCATATTTAATATGCAAATTTTATCAAGAAACATTTCTATTATCATTGATAAAATCTAAAAAAAAAAACAAAGTATTCCATCTATTCATAAATACTTTTAATATTTTTATGGTAATTAAGTAAGTAAATTTATTCTTATAAATTATAACAAAATATTAATTAATTTTATTACGTAACCTTAAGTAAAGAAGAGGAGATGTTATATGGATTTTGGAAAATTATAAAAATATCTTGTCTAGTAATTAAACGGAAGGACCTTTTCAATTAACGAAAAAAACTAATTTTCGGACGGAAGAACCTTTTCAATTAGACGGAGTTACAACTGAGGGCTAGTTAGATTAATTTGCGCAAAACTTGAGATTCAGCTTAGATAACTTATGTAAACCTGAGAGACTAGATAATAATTTTCCATTCAATTCGAATAAGTATGGTCCACATCAGCTAGGGAGGGGTGTTTTAGTCTTTTAGTCATAATTAAACGGAAAAAAATCACTTTTCGGACCGGAAGGACCTTTTTAATTAGATGGAGTTTAAACTGAGGGACTAGTTAGATATTTAACGCAAAAATTTGGGATTAGTTGGATAATTATGTAAAACTGAGGGACTAAATAATAATTTTTCCTAAAATTATAATCAATCTTATATTATAACAAAAATTAAGTAAATCAGTTATAAATAATCAACGATGGAATCGCAGCCTCATAAATAAACATATTATATATATATATATATATATATATATATAAATATAGGTGCACAAACTATTAGTAATAGCTAATTTTCTACAAATAGTATTTTAATTTTTTCCCAATTATACTTTGCTTTGCTATTAGTAAATAACCAAATTAATATATATATATATATATATTATATATATATATTAGTATATATTATATATATATATAATATAATATATATATATAATATATAATTAGTCGTGATTCCGTGCTTCAAGCGTAGGTATTTATGTATTACTCGATAATTGTTATAATTGAATTATTCGATAAGTTTTTAATTTATAATTTTTTATTGAAATTTTTTTTGTTAATAACAATAATTAATCTCAATATTTAGTCATAAATGGATGAACATTTGAAATTTTAAAAAATTATTAATTTAATTTTTTAATCCAAATTTAACATAATAGAAATGATTGATATTTTTTTCATAATAATTTAGATAGATTATGAATTTAAATTTAAAATAGATATTATAAATTTAACTTTTAAAACTGTAAAATTATGCATAAATTATGCATGGCATCAAATTGGAATCAAAATAATAGTCGCACCACTTTCCCAATCTTAATGAATGCTAATGTCATCTATATATTGTCCTCTGTATGCTTGTTGCCACAATTCCCTTATGATTTTATTTCCTCCATTTTTATTGTA